GCATGTCTGTCTTTCACGCAGTTTGTTATAGATACCATAGGCTCTATCAAATTTCTCCTCTAGCTCCTTAATTTTATCGTGTGTGTCAGTTCTAGAGCAAGTATAAACAAACGGATTAGAGGTACTTACTTCATTGTCAGCATTCTTGTTTTCAGCAGAGAGGGCAGTCACTTCATCAGCATTGTTTGAGGTAGTTAGTCTCTTCTTCTCCTCAGCAGTTGGAGTGGTGTCCTTCTTGTTTCCTTCATCAACAACCATCTCTTTCTCTTCATCAGCAGCGGGGGTTGTTGACTTCTCACTTGCATCGTCAGTAACAGTCACTTTCTCATCTTCTTCAACAACAGCCATCAGTGCCAGATTCTCTTCATCGTCAGAGTCATCCATCCAGTGATCCTTTTCAGCCATCAGAGCACTTTTGTCACTGCTCTCTTCCATAGCCAGCAGCATTCTCTTCTTGTTCAGATTTACCTTTTGCTTGTAGTAATCAACATCCTTCCTCCTCTTAGGCATTATGCAATCCTTGATAAGATGTCCAGGCTTCCCACAATTGAAGCATTTGGGAGCATCCTCAGCATTACCATTCTCAGAAGATTCAAATGATCGTTGTTTCCTTTTGTTGTTGATGGTTGAGGTTTTGCGGAGCCTGTTGTTTGAGGAGTTCTTCTTTTTCTGCATCTGATTATTGAACCTAGAGGTAAGAAGAGCTATCTGCTTTTGGAAATCACGCAGTTCATCATCGTCATCAGTTTCATCCCAGAAGCCTATGTCACTGTCAGCACTCTCACTTTCATCAGCTTTCATCTTGTCCTTCTTGGAGCCAAATTTTGAGGGTTTGTCAAGCATCAGTGCTAGGGTGTCAGCTAGTTTGTCCACAGCCGTCTTCCCCTTTTCAGCCATCACAGTAGTGTGAACAAAGTCAGAAAAATCCTCAGCATACTGATTGAGTGTGTTGTACATAGCATGGATATCCATTTCATCAAGATCTTTAGTGTGCCTTATCTGTGAACACAGCTTCCTCCAATCAGGTCTAAGTGCAGACAGAAATCTCACATTCAGCTCCATGTTAGATTTGTGCACGCCAATCTTTCTCATCTCATTGATTAGCTGCAGAAACCTAAGATAAGTGTCTTCGAGAGATTCTCCGAGTTTGGCTCTGAAAGAGTCATAGGCTGTGAAGGTGCTTGCTTTCTTTGCTTTGACTCCAATCTCCGTGCCTTGTATGATCTTGAAGATTGCGTCCCATATTTCCTTTGCAGTTGACATGCTATCAATCTGCATGTAAATGTCATTAGGGATAGCCTGCAGCAGATAAGTCTTAGCAAGTAGGTCAGCTCGGAGTCTAGCTCGGTCCTCATCATCATATTCTTCGACTGTCTTGGGTCTTCATTCAACTTCAACAGGTGGGTTGTTCACTTCATTTTTGTCAATGGCAATGAGCAGTTGAGCAGGGCCATTGGTGATAGAGTCAAGTAGTCCCGATGATTGATCTTTGCTTTCAAGAAAGTTAAGGAATCTGTTCTTCCAAACGTTGTATTCTCCTCTTCGTAGAATAGGGGGTCTTGTGTCGTTTCCAATTGACAAAGCGTCCATTTTATAATTGATCGGGCTGATCAGTTGATTGATTAAGTCCTGTTTCTGTTTGTTTAGAACTTCAAGCAGTAGGTTCATGCACTGTTGGTGTTGCAAATCTGTTTAATTGTTGAGATCGCTCAACTTTTGAAATAGGGCAAGTCTTCAAATGGGGCAAGTCTTCAAATGGGGCAACTCCTAAAATGGGGCAACTTTTGAAAATCGCTTAACTCCAAATGGGACAACTTGAGTAAGATCGCTCAAGTCCAAATGGGGCAACTTCAAAATCGCTCAACTTGTAAAATCGGGCAAGTCTTCAAATCGCTTAAGTGTTGTAGAACGCAAGTCCAAAATCGTGCAAGGAGTGTTGCGCGAAGTTTGAAATCGGGCAAGTCAAGATCGCGCAAGGACGAAATAGCTCAAGTCCAAAATCGCGCAGGGTGTTTTGCGCGAAGTTGAAATCGGGCAGGAGGAGTTGCGTGAAACCTGTTCTTCTTTCCAGCGGAGTTGCGCGAAAATGCAGAATCACTCAACTATGGCTTAACCTGTACGCCAAATTTCTGGGTGCGGTTTTTCATAGAATGAATCCTTGCAAGCTTAGAAACATTTCCCTGTAAACATTTTCCTGTAAAAATATCAACAAAAACAAAACAGAAGATCGCTCAAGTGCAAAACTTTGTCCATGAAGAATCGCGCAAGAGCTTTTCCAGCCTTCAATCGATCGATCAGCTCTGGCTCTGATATTAGATGTTAGGTCCCTGTTTTCTAATCTATAATATGTATGGAAGAGTGATCAAATGAGGATGAAGCTTTCTCAGACATTTCATACCCTATAGCCGCAGAGCCTATTCTTGTGTAAAGGTTTCTACGCTAAATTTTCATATCATTCTGTAAAACCTTCTACACATCAATGGAAAGCTTCATCCTCATTTGATCACTCTTCCATACATATTATAGATTAGAAAGCAGGGACCTAACATCTTTTTTTTAGGATGAAGCTTTCCATTGATGTGTAGAAGGTTTTACAGAATGATATGAAAACTTAGCGTAGAAACCTTTACACGAGAATAGGCTCTGCGGCTCTAGGGTATGAAATGTCTGGGAAAGCTTAACCTACTCATTCTCCTAAGGGGCATATTTATAGCCTTGAGAATGGTATGTTAACAAATGATTGGGCTCCAACTTTAAGGAGGCTCATTCCTATTTAGGCAATTGAGCTTTTACCAAATTTGGCCTATTCTATGAATAAATAAGCTATTACAAAAAGGCTATTTGAACATTGATCACAATACAATTAAAATATCTCTAACAGCGCCCCATCATCACTGGAATCCTGGAATCAGGATTCGTGGCCGGCCATCGCCGGATTCCTAGATTGAAGGGTGTCGGCTAAGTGGAGTAAATTGCGGTGCCTAACTCCGTGAAGGGCAACGACTGAGTGCAATGATGTCCAACGGCGGCTAAAAGAAGTGACATCCAGCGATGGCGTGTAGGTCTGATCAAAGGTCGGCAGTGAGAGCGGCACAGATGTGGTGACCACCGGTTGAGCGATGGCACAGGGCACTGAGTTCAGCGGTTGGCGGCACAATTGTGGTGACCGAAAGCGGTGTTGGGAAGAAGTCAACGGTACCTGCGTAGAAGAGAAGAAAGAAAGAGAAGCTAAGAAGAGAAAACGAAAGGACAAAATGAAAGAGAAAATTAAAGAAAGAAAAAAGGAAAAGGAAAAGGAAACGAAATCGCCATGGGCCATTATCCAGAAAACCCGGCTAAAACGCTCAATTGATTACGATAGTTTTTTTTTTTTTAAGAATTCAGTAGTTTAACGAAGCGTTTTTCAAACAAAGGGGCCTAATCACTATTTCGCTATAGTATAGGGCCAGATTGACTCCTATGTGATAGTTTTCCCAAGATTAAGAAAAGGTTTTAAAACAATCCAGGGAATTTGGCATTTCGCACACCAGAATACCAGATCTATCCCACTTTTTCGATCATATTGCATTACTTGATTTTCCTTTGACTTTGCACCCCAATCAAAATACAAAATCAAACTTTGGGACTAAACATTCGACTAAGATTTGCAGCATAATCAGAGTGCAAAACGAAAATAAAACACAGATGTGCGGAAACAAATCTAGTCAGTAAGTCTATGCAAGGCCGGCCCCGGGCCCAACATTTACAGGGGCCCATAATTATATATAAATGGATAAATATAGAGAGGACAATTCATATCAGACCGAGGTCATTTGGGGCCCTTTATGGAGGAATTTTTTTATGAAACTTTTTTGGAGTATTTTTCATCAAGTGTAAATTACATTCACAAAATTTTAGTTTAAAAATCAACCGGGAAATCGGTTAAATAAAATATTGAAACACACTGCGCTTTGTGTATATAAATAATGCGCACTATCTTTCAATAATTTATTTAACTGACTTTCAGGTTGAATTTTAATCTTAAACTTTGTGGAGATATTATAGATTTTATGAAGAATATATTTAAAAAAAATCATGAAAAAATTTTATCGGGAAGGGCCTCAAATGGTCCCGGTCTGACATCATTTCCCGTTAAGCAGGCCTAATTTCAATGTTTCATCTTTGGACTTTAATTCGTTTTGCTCAGCAATCAACACTCTCCTAATTTTCTCAAAAATATCTTCTAAATTTGAAATTTCAATTTCACAAGTAATTCTCTGGTTTTATTTTTTATTTGTTAATATAATTTTTATTCGTTTAGTTTATATATTAAGACTTTGATGAAAGACTTACATTACTTTGTATGTTGAAATTTGTGAATATAAAGTTAAGCTTTTGCAATATATTTATATAACCTTTTAAGGGCCTTCTTTTTTCAATCGCCCCGGACCCATAAAATATCAGGACCGGCCCTGAGTCTATGTATTTCCAATTGGCCATTAGGAGTATCTATTTCTCAATTTCTAAAAGAATTAGAAGGCAATACTGAATCCAGACTTTTTACTTTTCCTTCCTCTTTCACCCCTTTTTCCTTTCTTTCTCCTTTTGTTACGTTTCCTTGCTCCATTCATTTCCTTTTGAATATGCTCCATTCATTTCCTTTTGAATAAATGTAAAGTTAATTTCTTAAATACGAAGTAGGAGTAAATAAATACTAATTACCAAAACAGGAGTAAAGTTTAACAATATTTTCTTTAATTTTTTTAGTAGTGCATTAATAAATAAAACATCAGAAATCAGGCAGGACAGGACTGTGGTCCGGCCACCTCAATTTGAGGTGGTTCCCGATTGTATTTTTGGCTGAAATTTTTTGTGTATGTTCCCCATCAAGTCTAGTTCATCAATACCAAATTTGAGCAAAAAATTCAATCGGGAAGGCCGTCAAATGATTTTTGCAAGTTAACTGCGTTTTATATGTATATTCCGGAGCAGTTAACTTGCAAAAATCATTTGAAGGCCTTCCAAATTGAATTTTTTGCTCAAATTTGATATGGATGAAATAGACTTGATACGGAACATACACAAAAAATTTCAGCCAAAAATACCACCAGGAACCATCTCAAATTGAGGTGGCCGGACCAAGGTCCTGTCCGGCCTGACCGGATAGGAAAAGCACTCATAAAACATAATCAAAGTGGAACATGAAAATAGTTTAAAATTCAAAATGTTGCAATTATTTAAAAACAGAAGAAGTATGTAGTTGGACAAAAGCTTGGCCACAACTATTACTGCTGACAGAACGGCGAACCGTCACCTTTCGCAGGCCGCAGCGGAAATCTGGCTTTCGCTGCAAATCCAACCGTCGCTGTTGCAGATTTAGATCGCCACTGGACTGCCCACCACCACCGGACTAATACCACCGATAACAGACTGCCTTTAGTTATGCAAAGGAACTAGAGATAATTATTTATATTAGGAAGTGCATATATGGAATAAAAGTTCTATTTAGGGAATCAATAGGTTTGCTGGGTATGTTGAGGATATTGTAAAGACTAAAGATGATTTCAACGATTCTTATATAAGCCATTTACATTTAAAAAAGTAAAATGATTCCTTGCTCATATAAAAAAGCTCACGGCAGCTGAAAATATAACTAGTAGAATACCACATCCTGAATATAAAAAAAAAGGTCCAAAATTATATCTCATTCTCCAAAGAACTCTGATGCCTGGTCCTGGTATTTAGAGGCTACAATCTGCTGCGGTAGTTCTCCTTTGGCTTCAACTGGGACCTCAACCATCTCATCTTACTTAATAGAAATGTTAAATTTCAAAGGCTACTACTTGCCATCACGCCCATCACAGATTTACAGATATTACCTATTTCTTACGTATGAGGATCGATATGGGTATCAGCATTCACATCAGGAAAATCTGCTACTCCCCCTACGGCCACGATTTGATGGTCTAGCTGCCAATCCCTTTCCCTGATATATTTTACCAGGAAAAACATAAGAGCAGGTAAATTTGATCAATGGTACTTGGTATTTGTATTGAATAGTTTCGGGTACCTTTCATTTTAGTTTAACACTTGTGTCACCCTAAAACACTCTTACATGCCTGCCATGTGACTTAAAAAGCATGTTTCAGACTCACCTTTCATGTCAGATGGCAATCATTTATCAAATGGATGAGTGACGTAGAGAAAAGAATTGTACAAGTAGTTACGAATATAGAATTTTATTTTACTGAAAAGGAAACACACTAATTGACTTAGCATAGCACAATAGAGTGTTTTAAGTAAAGGAGTAAACAAACCACCATATCGAGACCGAACTGGCAAAACCATAGACTATTCAGTTTGCAGTTTAGGCTTTGACAACCAACCAAATCAGCCACAACCCGAGAACAACTAAAGTTACTTGGTTCGCCTATTTTTAGGGTTCCATGCAGGATAACACTACCAAAAAAACGCTGGATTGGCATGGATTCGCCAAAACTCATAGAGGATTTGGCAGGGATATGCCAAATCCGTGACAAAAACATCTTGGCACGATCTATTTGGCACGAAATTATTGATCAATCCTTGCCAAATCCGTGCCAATCCCATAAATTTATTTGGATAAAATTGGCCAAAAGTACTATGGGAGGTCAACTATAAAATGTTGAGAAACCAAAATTGTTAACAAAAAAGGTGTTGAGGTAGCAAAATTGTATAACACATATAGTTGAGGTTCCATTTTTTTACGTTTCTATCTGCATAAGATCAACTGTCATCACACTGATAAGATCTTAACCTAGTGTGAGGTTAACGCAGACGGACCTCAGTGGGTTTCATCAGCTTCTTTCTCGTTATGGAAGAAGCTCTTTGAGCTCGCCTTTTCTTCTCTTCAGCTTCCAGTTTAGAAAGGCTTGGTCTATAAAGAATCACAGTCCTGGCAATTTGGCCCACCACTACAGACCCAGTGTCTTCTTCCAACTGCTTAATTATGTCCTCCAGCTCTCCAGGGCAACTTCCATGTATTTTAAGCTGATTAAAAATAATAATGCAGAAAAAATCATCATCAGTTCTATTCAGAGAACCACACAAAAAGCTACCTACTAGCAGACTACTACTATATGAAGTTCATGCCTCGTTCGGTTTATAACTTAGACCTTCTTTGGATAGTGAAATTTGGAGGGGATGTAGGGGCGAATTTGTTTTAATAGTGTTAGATCAGAAAACAAACATCTGTTTAATTAAATAATGTGTTTCTATGTAATTTCTCAATTTAATCCTCTTCCAACAAAAAGATGCTCAGGTAAATTAATATAATACAATTAAATATTACTCCGTACTACAGAGTATATGCAAGTGGCTAGTCATCAACTGATCAGAGTTAGACGTGAAAAACATAGGCGCCTAGGTGAGGATTAACCAGAACTATACAGGGATTTTTTGCAAGAATTCATAATTGTGTCATTATGGTTACTTGAAGATATGTTGTGACTAAAAGGATTAATTTTCTAGGATATACTCATTTGATAGGATTTATAATTTGAAAAACTGCAAAATGATGAAATCCCGCTTTAATCTATATGCCATGTCTGAAATAGAGATCAATTTGGTCCACTCCTGAAACATAAATCCTAAACGCAAATTATTGACCAATATGTTAAGAGCAGAAACTACATATTCATATGATGTTAAGCTCAGTTTAAACAAACAAAAACGACAAATCCAAAAGTTTATTCACCTTCAAAAGTTCATTTTTCTCAAGGGTTTCAACCAAGGCAGTGACAACAGTAGCAGTGACTCCAGACTTTCCGACCTGTTGAGACTTGAGCTTCTTCCCCAGGCTGTGTGCATAAGAACCTAACTCTTTCTTCTCCTTCACGGTGAGTCCCTGTAGCTTCGTATGCAGCCTCAGATTTCCGGGAGATTCGGTGGTGACAGGTACTGCTTCTGGTTCTTGAGCTTCCTCAGTCCCATCAGAATCGATTTCTTCCTCTATTTCTTCAACGGAATTTTCGAACTGTAGAAGGGCTTGAAGTTTTGGGTTTGGGGAGAAATGGCGATAATTTGTAGAGGATAAATGGGGGCTCACGGATGGGAAGATAAGTGGCCGCGCTAGAGAAGGGGTTAGGAGAAGATGTTTCGGACGGATAGAAAAGCAGAAGAAAGGAGGGGCGTTTGGTCGGAGCAGACGGCGGAATATCATCCGTGGGACGGCGGAAGAAGGCGAACCTGATAACGTTACCGAACTCATTGTTTTAAATGATACGGAGTAGCTTCCACAGTTTTGTTTTAAAGTTGCAGTGCAGTGGAACACAAATAGTGCCACGGTTTAGCACATAAATACTCCGTATTAGGTAGTACCTCGTACTAAATAAATATGGAGTATTCCTAAAATAAAATCTATTTACAAAAAAAATGACTAATACGGAGTAGTTATTATTGTGTCATGATAACTTAATTTTATAAATTAAGTATAAGTTTCTAGATTTCATTAATACTCTAGTCACTATTCACATTTTTGTAAACAATCTTTGTTTTAGGAACAAATACATAATTATTTCTTTTTATATTGAGAAAACTGTCAAATAGACCCTCTAACTATACTAAAAAGGTCAATTAAACCCTCGAACTAAAGAAACGTTCAATTAAGTCCACCAACTTTAGAGCATCTCCCATGGTAAACGTGAACGGTGGTGCATATGTGGCATGAGACATATCCAATTAAAAAATAATAAATAGAATATATCTCTCCTTGTTTGAAGTATCTTGTATCATTTTGGTAAGTTTTTCTTCACAATGTCAAGCACAATGTCTAGATGTAGACATTGTGTTTGACATTGCAGGGGAAAACTTATTAAAAATACATAAAACTATGGAAAGAATGAGAGAGAAATGTCATAAATTCAATTTTTGTGTCTATCTCTTTCGTGCTACATGTGCACCGTGCATATTATAGCATTGGAGATGCTCTTACAAAAACAATCATATCTTTATATAATATAAAGTAACAGTCGTTACACCATAACTGGAGGGAAAAATCCCGCCCAAACTAAGGACATAATGGGAAATCTATGTGAAATGTATAAGTAAAATATTGCCCATTCATGAAAAAGTATCGTATGAAAGTGTGAAATTATGGCAACATTATATTGGAGCATTTATTGGCCACCTTATGAAAATATGGTAAGATAATTTACTGCTAATATGTATGTGCAGGGGAGGATCTATGTTAGGGCTATGGTGGGCTGAAGCCCAGGGCAAAGTAAAAAAATTAATTTTTTTTAAGGTATTGTTTTTAAAATTTTCCATCCAGCCTACCCCAAATTTTCTATAGCCCAATCCAATTTTCAGCTTAGCCCGTAAAACAAAATCTTACCATCTAATCTAAATGTTATACGCATCATGGACGGCCCGGCCCAGGGGAGGGCACCTAGTGCAATTGCAGGAATTAGTGATCTACAAAGTGCTCAAAGAATAGAAGTTGAACGTATGTTGGCAATAAGAGAGCGTGAATCTGGAAGTGGAGCCAATCAAATTGGTAATTTACAAAGTGTTGGAGCAACGCGTTAGAGTTCCCATTATGATTCAATTAAAAACTTGATTGACATGTTACAACAACTTGCAAAGTGTTTGAGTATCTTCAAGAATATTGCCCAAAAGCGAGTTCTCTGGTAGAAGTTCATGGTGTATATAGACACTTTGCATGTTTGGATTTTGGGTCCAGTTTACTTTTGATGCACAAAGTTATAGGAATAACGAGTATTCTCTGTCAAGGGATTCAAAAAAATCATTGGATATCTTGATAGCTATAAGACATTTTCTACTACACAACTCATTCTCGGGGAATTGAGAGAAAATGGATGGAAAGACTTTCTTGAAGAAGTAAAAGAGTTTTGCTCAAAACACAAAATTCATGTACCAGAGCTGAATTCTGAATATATGATTGGTCGTTGCCGAAAATAAACTACAGTTGAGCATCACTATCACTTTGATGTTTTCAACGAGGCAATAGACTTTGTATTGATGGAGTTAAGGACCCAGTTTAATGATAAATCATTAGAACTCATTTTTTGAGTGCTTCATTGGATCTAAAACAATTCGAATGAGTCATTTAACGTCGATGCTAATTGTACTCTTGCAAGGAATTGAAGCTCTATCTCGAAAATTTTAGTAGTGAGGATATTCTTGCTTTGGAATTCGAGCTGCAACACTATGTTCATGATGTGATTCCTGATACAAAGTTTCGAATATCTACACTTGTTGAATAATGTGAGGAGTTGACTAAGAGTAGAAGATCTGATTCATATGTTATGATGAGCAGATTGATTCGCTTTGTTTCTACTGCAAAGCATAACGATCATTTTCTGCCATGAAACATCTAAAAACAACACTCCGCGACAAAATGACGGATGACTTTCTTGGACACTTTATATTGTATAGATGTAGACTCTATTGTTGTTGAGTTTTGTTTCAAAGCCTCCTCGAGGACAATTTTAGTGGAGAACTCTTATATTTGATTTTTTGTTTATTTTGAAAATTGTCAATGTATTATCATTTTAGTGTTTTAGCCCACCCCTACATGAAATTCTGGATCCGCCCCTGTGTATGTGTTGACTGACTGTTCCTAAAATGTATAAGCTCCTATCCTTACATATACGGAGTATTACTTTTGGAAAAGAAACAAAATTAATTTTAAAGTTATACACATTTGTCTCATATATACGTACTTGAAGGGCATGCATAGATAGGAGGAACCCTGGAACTGACCTACCCAAATTTTAAAAATGTCTAATTTTTTAATGTAGAAAATTTCGCATAATTTTTTTCCAAAAATATTATTTGTACCGGCCCAGTCCGATCCAATGCCCTGACTTCGCCTCTGCGTATATGATAAGAAATGTATTTAACCATGCATGTCATATATGTATGGTAAGAGGATCAGGTGCAAACATCTTCTTTAGATGTGATAATAAATTCTTAAATTGTCATAAAAAGTTTGTTTTAACAAAGGAATCAATTAAGTGTATAATTTTAGTCACGTATCACGTATGCATTCAACCTGAATGCTTTCAATGGAGAGTTCATGTATGTATGTGTGGTAGAGTGTTGCAAGTTAAGTAGTACCAAAAGCCATACAATGTTCGTGCGCTCGAAATGATTTTTACTAGACCATCAAGTAATCTCAAGTGTTCCCAAATCTACCCTTATAATAAAAAATAATTTTTTTCATTTGAAGCTAGCTATTTTACTAAATTTAAAATTGGCCTTCATAATTATAATTGGCCTTCATAATTAAACACATTTGTGAACTTTACTTCAAAATAAATTCTTAAGTACGTAATATTTAATTCAAATTTAATTTACTAAATGCATCTTCAAATTTAATTCAAATTCAATTCATCTTAAAATGTATTTCCGAATGATTAAATGATTTTTCTAATGTTCTAAATTTCATTGTAATCAATCTACTAAATTGGTATGAGTGTTTAGTTTGATTAAATTTTCTAACCCTCCCCATGGTTTTTATGATTTTCCCATGGTATAAATTCAAATTCAAGAGACATACATATTTTCCAAATGCCTCATCCGGTAGTTTCATGTGAAATTAGTGAAATTATTGCAGATACCTATTTTTCAAATGAAAGTGGAATTGGTCTTATACTAAATGATGTGATTGATAAGCTCAAAATGAAGGTAAATAACCAAACATGCTTTTTGAGCGTTGAATTCGCTAAATTGACTGAATTTGCTGAATTATGGAAAACCTATATTCAAGATACATTTTATTAATAAAATAAAGAAAGAATATAATAATTAAAATGGTCTTTTATAGTAACTCCAACCAATTTAGCCAAATCAGTAACTTAACCTTACTTATTTTGATTGATTTAACGCGTGAAATTAAAAATTACGCATTTTGTAAAAACAGTTGGTTAATAAGGCTAATAAACTGAAAATGTGGTTACCAAATGTAAAATATATATGGGTTTGGTGAGGATATTAAGAAAGTAAACGATAAAATGATTACTTTAAAATTGTTTGACCAAAAGTAAGAAAGAGTAAGATGTGTCCATAAAGAGTAAAAAAAATAAAATGAAATATAATATAAAGTGATAAAGTGAAAAGGTAAAAAGTTAGAAAAGTATTCATATTTTTTAAACAATTTAAAAAAGGTAAATGTATCTTACAAAATGAAACAGAGTAATATCAATTTTATTTCTATCTCTTATTTTAATTTAGTCTATTATATGTGACAAATGGAAATGGAATTATAAAACAAAACTGGAATAGAAGATAATACAAATAAAAATAAATAACGTTAATGACAAATAAATTATTTGATATGGAACATTTTAATTCATTTTAAACAGCTAAATAATAAAAATTGTGAAGTTTAGGTTGTGTCAAAAGAGTGTCAGTATTATTATGATGTTTTTTATTGAACTGATTTCACCCCAATAGCAATCCAAAACAAGCCAGACAAATTTACATTAGACCAGATTTTAGCAATAGTAAAATGGATGTCTACAATTTCAACAATTACTATGATTAGCAATAGAATTTACACATTTAAATCTATTATAATTGCATGTGCCATTTTTAGTATTCTTCTACACATTATTGATATAATAAATTAAAAATCCTAGAAATTAATGAAAAATATTTAATGATTAACTGTACCGGTGCCCACTTCAAAGGTATGGGTTACGATGGCTACAAACAGATAATGGAACAAGTATGTATAAATATTAACCTTCCAATTACCAATAGTAAAACATAAAATTACTTTCTTTCATGTACCAATTATACAGTAAATGTAATTTTCTACATTTTAAATGTGATTTCCTCCATTTTAACTAGATCAATTGGTATATGTATTTACCTAGATTTAATTTTTTCTCATGACTTAAACATTGTAAATTAAATCATAAAATTAAGTTTAATATCTATTGGTCTGGCAATAAATATGACATTATGGTGGATCGAGAACAAATATGCATTTAACTTTATTTGCTAGCCGCATGCTAATTTCCTCGCACTACATTACATATATTCATGGTCCAATGAGTAATTTTTAGTCAAACAAGCTTCAACCGTTGTAACTAACGGGTAATGAGCATAAACATGAGTAACATTTTAATAAGTAGATCACCAATATTTTAATATAAGAATTTATTATATTTGAATAATGTTTGGTTAAGTCGATCACCAATCTTTTCGAATCACATCCCAATTCAAAGATGTTGATTTTTAACATAGATCAAATTATATAATAGGTTAACAAGCATAACAACAAACCACATGATAGAGTATATGGGTTC